TGCACGCCACTTCTTGGTATGCAAAGGGACAGGAGGATATGATTAGGCATATAGTGACATGAAAGATAGTTGCTAGGTCTGAAAGTGTAATGCCCCGAATTTTATCGACTTAAATATTGGGGTGTTACCCATATCATTTCATAAACATACTTGAAACGAAAATATTTAATTGGAAATTTAAAAACCTTTAATTTATTTTAAAATAAAATAATAATGTCATAGAATTTAGAGCATTAAATGGAATTAAAGAAAAACAAAAAAAAAAATCCTACTAGAAATATTCTCAAATATTTTCTTGAAAAATTTCTTTACTAGGCAACCCGCGCACTGCACAGCCACCATCCACGTCGATCAACCTAACCTGAAATGTTAAAATTTGAAGGAATGAGTAATTTATACTCAGTTGGATATGTGCGTCAAAATAATACGATAACTTTTAAAACATGAATCTATAACATTCCATACCATCATTTAATCAAGAGAAATCGGTGATCAATCGAAAGCTCTCGCATATTTGAGAAGACCCGAAGGTGATCTCACATTTCATTTCATAGGGACCCGGAGATCAATTAGAATTTCATGAAATAAATCATGTAAGAAAAATTACAATATTGAAAGGACGGCACAACTTGCACATAGTATCCTACCTCGTTAGATAAAATAGTTTTTGAAAAGCTGAATCCAAAATCACGTTCAAGATCTTTAATTTTTTTGCCTACCACCGTGTTGAATAATTTTATTGTTTGGTGAAAACGTATATTCTACTCATATGATTATATATTGACAGTCCCCAATTCACTCAAATCTCAAAAGGCACATGGTAGCCAAGAGTATAGAAAAGAATGATGCTAAGTATAGTATTTAAAGTGGAACGGGAAAGCTGAATTTTAGTTGCCCAAAACGGGGCAGCATCTCCACTTTCTTTCCAAGTTTTAAATTCAATTTGAAAACTAGTTTTTACCAGCTTATTCAAACTGCAATATCTTGATGCCAACTTATCCAAAATGACTTTTTCTCAAGCCTAAAATACATGATAAATTTCGAGCTATCAAAAGAGCCCAACACTGATATATTTACTCATTCTATTAAAATTTGATTATTTGACCCAAATAAAATATAATTTAAAACATATTTTATTTTAGTCCTCAATTTTTTTTTGAAATATAAAATTATAACATATAAAAAATACATTTTCATCCTAACTTTTTTTTTTTTTTTTTTTTTTTTGGGGGGTTTCA